TGAGAGTTAAGCAGCAGTTGAAGATGAGATGGGGGGATACCTGCAAGATACTTCGATGCCAAAGTAAGTTTTAGGGAGAGTGCAAGAAAGTGTGATTATGTGAGTATGAAAGAATGAATACCTGACCCTCTTAAAGGAGAGGGTATTTATAGCCCCCATCACTGGGCTAAAGTCTCCAATGTTGGGCCACGATGAGGCCCAATAAAGAAGACTGCTAGGGCTTACGTGTGTATGGAGGCTATCACGTGGCTTCCCCCCTGGTTGGCTGCCCCGAGAAAACAGAAGCTGGACCCGGTATTCTTGGAGGGCAGGAAGGTGGTGACGATAAGGGCATGTGGGCCATGTTCTCCAACGGATACATGGGGAGTTGCCAACGGTGCCTAACTTGGGCTGTTTGCTTTTGGGCCTTGTGCAAAGGTGTTAGATTGGGCCTCCCCAACAGTGGGGTAAGTGCGGGCCCAGTTTAGATCAATTCCTTTTCAAAATGCCCAAGTTTTTGACAATTGTAACACTTTACACCACTTTTGTCAAACTTCTTGGTGTTGTTTACTTTACCACTACCTTTGGAGCTACTTTCACCTCTTTGTGCCATTGAACTCTTTGAATTTTGTGAATCTTTTCCACCAAAATTCTGGAAATTTGTCTTCCCTTTTGAAGACCATTTTCCTTTCGATCTCTTGTTCTTCTCATTGAACTGTGCTTGCAACGCAATCTCCACTTTGGCATTGTCATTTCCTCCTTCATCCATTCTTTGTTCAATAGCTTTTAATGAGCTTTAAAGCTCCTCTTTGCTCATGGTAAGAAGATCCTTTGATTCATCGATTGCAACCCTTATGTTGTCGAATCTTGATGTTAAAGAACACAAGATCTTTGCTACCACATTCTACACTGACACAATTTCATTACAAGACTTCATTTGATTCACCAAACGCGTTATACGCATAACGTAATCATTGATCAACTCCTTCTCTTCCATTTTCACTAGCTCTAAATGCCTCTTGTGAGTTTATAACCTTACACCCTTCGCTTTATTAGCCCCTTCATAAGCTTTCTACAAAATCTCCCAAGCTTGCTTCGCCAACGCGCAATCATCAATCTTTTTAAAGTTGTCACTATCGACGCAAGAATGTATCAAGAAGAGTGCCTTGTAGCCTTTTTTATTCTCCTCCTTGAATGTAGCTTTTTGAGCAGTTGTAGCTTCTACCCCAAGTAATGTAACACCATCATTCACTATTTTGAGAACGTCTTAATACACAAACAAAACTTTCATTTGCTTGCACCATTTTTCATAGTTCTTGGAATCAAGAATTAGAAGGCTGGTAGGGATTCGATCATTGGAAATAGTAGACATGTTTGTAGCGGATTAATGGATTAGAAACAAGGCTCTTAATGCCAAATGTTAGAACATACACAAAAATTAGTTGGTTAGTTAATGGTAAAAAGTGGTTAATTGGAGAAGATGAAGTTTAGAGAGAAATTGGAGATTATTAGAGAGAGAGAGAGAGAGAGAGAGAGAGAGAGAGAGAGAGAGAGAGAGAGAGAGAGAGAGAGAGAGAGAGAGAAAGTAATTGAGGAGAAAATATTAAAATTGACATTAACTAACTCAAATCATTACAATAGGTATTTATAGTCAACACTAAAACAATGTGGAACCAAAACAAGCCCAAAACAACTAAAAAATTTCAAAATGTCGCGCCAGAAATCGATTTCCCCAAACAAGGGAATCAATTTCCTAAACTGAAATTGCAACTTTCAGAAAATCTCCACTAGTGGAAATCAATTTCCCACTTTGTTGAAATTGATTTCCTCTGTGAAAATTCCAGAATTTTGATTTTCAGAAGTGCTTCTCAAATAAGTTGTTTCGACGAAACGATCCCTGAAGCTTCGAGAATGAATTTGAATCATTATCAACTTCCAACAATAAATACTATTTTATGATTCTATACAAAATTATTATTTTTTTAAATATCAAACATTTTAATTTTTTTTAATTCGTTTTTGAAAGCATTTCCTTCTTAATTAAATTAAAATCAAATACTAATCTGGTTTAAGAGTCAATTATAATATTATGTGATTTCAATTTTTTTCAATTACTATTATAAAAAATCGAACCATAATAGTAGAAAAGAATAACGAAATCTACTATTTAACATTTTCTGAAAGATTGCACAAACTAACTTAATTGTCGTTGCACAAAATAACCATTGCTCACAAAAAAGGCCATTTAAGTAACTCTTAAATTAACTCTCAATTTTTGGAACTTGTAACTAGCAAAACACCATTTGTTATTCTCTCATTGGTCTGATTTCATTTGTTTCTCTTTTTCTCTTTTCTCTTTCTCTTTCTATTGTCTTCTCTCTTTTCTCCATTTGGTTCAACACATATCTTTTTCCATCAAGGTGTTTTATTTTCTATTTCTTTTCCTTTCATTTCCAATTTATTTTTGTAGCTGTAATTTTCTTCTTTAAACCTCCATTTTTTGCTATTCAAAGTAATTAAAAGATGATACTTGATATGGTGTGCGGGTTTGAATAATGTTATCTTTCAGTTTTTCCTAGAAGAAGAAATTTAGTTATTGAAAATCATGATATAGAAAAAAGTGGAAAATAAGATTTGAAAGAATAAGTAGGCATGGATATAAATAGAAAGAAAATGTAAAGATGTCTTTTTAAAGGGATTATAATACTATTATAGTTTATTTTGGTAAAGGCGCACGCGCACGCGCACGCGCGCACACACACACACACAATCTGGAGCACCATATACCAAGAGTTTGAGAGATGAATGAGATCATGTTTTATATGTAAGGAAATACAGGTCACCCTATATCAGTAGTGTTGTTTTCAACCCTACTGCTACTATTGATGAACTCACTGAAGCAATGTGGCCAATAGGTGTTAGTTCTTTTGTATTGATAAAAGACATGTTCGACTATTTTCTCTACATAAGTTTACATTACATAAACATATATCTAGCTGATAGTTCTTTAAATTGTCATTTTAAACCAGACATCATTTGAACAACTTTAGATAAAAGTGACTGATTCATGTATGGGCCGATAGGGAAAGGAGTTAAGTTAGGTCCTCTTCATGATACTGATATATCAAATTTTTTGGCACCTCTTGCGCATGGTGCAGGAGTCGTGTTTGCATCATCTAATGAGAAGTGTTAGTGGACCGATAAAGAACATATTTTCTCAAACTTTCTCTAAGCATTCCATGGGTGAAAATTGGATGCAAATGCTATTCTTTCAACCAGTTACTCAATTATTATGGCATTCTATAGAGTCGAAGTGTAAGACATAATGCAGTAGGAAAGGAATGTCTGAGACTCATACTAAATCTAATCATGAATGTTTTGAAGATTCTTCTTGTTCTGAATTAATCAAGGATCAATCATTTAACAATGGGATAGTTGATGAAAATGTTAAAGTTAATGTAAATGTTGAAAACCAATTATCTAACCGTGGAAACCTCTCTCCAATTTGCAGATAAATCTTGAAGTTGTCCCATGTTTATTATCATGCTTATTTGCAGATTTTTGCATTTTGACGAAGCATCTCTGTCATCAGAAATCAGTTATGAAGAGTCAGAGGAACGTGCTTCTTATCGCTGATGCGCTTTTGTTCTACTGGATTTTGTATTCAGTGACGCATCTGGTTGTGAAGATTGATCTCCTTAACCAGCGTCTGGAGCGTCTCAAGAGGACCGATTAAAGCAATGGTTGAGGCTAATGTTAGAGAGAAGAGAGAGATGAAGATTTATGGAGAGAGAGAGAGACTTATGTTTATTGTTACGGTAAATTTGGAAAAACAAAATCTTCTTTTTTTCAATAATAATTTATTTAATCCATATCCCTTCCCAATAAAAACAATATCAGTTAGTATGTTTTTCTCTTGTTAACTCTAGCCGCGGCGCTTAGATGGATTATTTTTATAATTTGATTGTCTTTATGGTGCGTTCCTCTTTGATGTTGCTGCATGTATAATATGATTAATCTAATTGTATATGAAAAATATAGTTAAATTTATTTATTTTTATTAATTCATTTAAGTTATATTGTACTGAAATGTAATAGAAATAAGGGAAATATGAGAAATAAGCTTTTGCTTTTAAGTTTTTTAAAAATATGATTTACTAAAGACTTATATTGAGTATGAACCTAATGCATAATTGTTTAATAATAAAATGTTTAATCTTATGGGTAAATATCAACATAATGTTTATTTTATTCAACAATAACTTTTACATGAAAAGCAAAATCTTTCTTTTTAAATTTCAATTTTTTTCTTTCTCTATCTCACTGGTTTTTTTTTTCTTTTCATTTTATATGATTATTAATACAATAGAATTTTATGATAATAATTCATTTTATAATTAAATATCTCATTTTAAATTTATATGTGTTTTTTATATAAATTATTCATAGTTTTTTTTATTGATATTACTCGTATAGTTTAAAATATACCACACCAAAAAATATTCACTCTTGCAGGATCACGAGTCTTTGAATAGTTATCTTCTAAAAAGACACATTCAAAATTGTCAAAATAAATCCTCAAAATAAGTTACTTTCCCAGTGATTGATTCTCTCTCACTCCTTATTTTTGAGATAAATTCTCACGCTAAATACGGATATATTGTTACAAAAATTAACGGACCATTTCATTAAAAAACCAACAACCTTCGTATAAAAAAACATCAACTTATTATTTATTTAACATTTAATTCTATATTCTCAATTGACACATCCATACATCCAATCACAATCCTCATTCCTGCCACTTCAGTTTCCATCTGGGTCCTTGCATGCTCTTCTTCAACCTCACCATAAAAAGAAAAAAAAGCATTACACCTCCGCGCACGTTAGCCTCCACCACCACACTCACACTCCCCAAATCCTAATGCATAGACACTAACCTTATTGAAACAAACCTCATTACTAGGTTAATTCAATATCCAAAACCAAACAATTATTCCACTTTCTATTTCGATTTAACAATGATGGACTCCGAGAATCACACCTCAGAGGAGGAACACCTACACCCTCTCCCTCTCTCTTCATCGAACGATGGATTACAAAACCTCGACCTCCACGAAAACCACGATTCCGTGAATAGTAAATCGTACTCTAATTACCGGAGCGTCATGTCCACGCTCTCCGATTCTCAAAACCATCCTCTATCTCCGCCGAGTCTCGTTTTACCGGCAGACTCCGATCCGCTTCTAGCTCCGCCTCAGCACCACCGCGAATTCACAAACCCTAATTCCTCCGATAATTCCTCTTACATCGACCCTCCCTCTTACGCAGACGCGACTTTCAGTCTGTTCGACGGTGAGACATCTTCCAACGGTGGTGATACTCCTACACGAAGCTCCTCTGAAGGTTTATTTTTCTCGAGATCTTCGTCTTCGAGCACGGAGTATTTGAAGATAACGGTTTCGAATCCGGTTAAGGAGCAAGAGAATTCGAATTCGATTGTTCCTGGTAATAGTAGCTACGTGACGTATTTGATTACGACGAGAACGAATGTCCCGGAGTTTGGAGGCTCGGAGTTTGGTGTAAGGAGAAGGTTTAAGGATATTGTGACGCTTTCGGATCGATTATCGGAGGCTTATCGGGGTTTTTTTATTCCGCCGAGGCCGGATAAGAGTATTGTGGAGAGTCAGGTGATGCAGAAGCAGGAGTTTGTGGAGCAGAGGAGGGTGGCATTGGAGAAGTATCTAAGGAGATTGGCGGATCATCCGGTGATTAGGAAGAGTGATGAGTTTAGGGTGTTTTTGCAGGTGCAGGGGAAGCTTCCGTTGCCGACTACGACTGATGTGGCGTCGAGGGTGTTGGATGGTGCGGTGAAGCTTCCGAAGCAGTTGATGGGGGAGAGTTTGATTGCTCCTAGTGAGGTTGTGCAGCCCGCGAAAGGGGGGAGGGATTTGTTGAGGTTGTTTAAGGAGTTGAAGCAGTCAATGGCTAATGATTGGGGAGGTTCTAAGCCATTGGTTGTGGAGGAAGATAAGGAGTTTCTTGCAAAAAAGGAAAGGGTTCATGAACTTGAACAGCAAATTAATAATGCATCTCAGCAGGTGTTATTTTCACTATCATTTTCAATTGTGTTTATACTTCTATATGATCATATGATCCTGTTTCGATTGTCTTATTTGAGGTTTTGAACTGAACTAGAGTAGTTTCACTTTATTTTATATTTTGGTATAGAAATAGCATATAAATATGCACTTTTTCTGTGTGGTTAACTTATGATGGTACTTGTTGTTGAGTTTCTCATCATGAGACAATTTTGTGCAGGCGGAATCACTTGTTAAAGCACAGCAAGACATGGGAGAGACAATGGGTGAATTAGGGTTAGCATTTATTAAACTAACAAAATTTGAAAACGAAGAAGCTGTGTTGGACTCTCAGAGGGTACGAGCTACTGACATGAAAGGTGTAGCAACAGCTGCTGTGAAAGCTAGCAGATTATTTCGAGAATTAAATTCTCAGACTGTGAAGCATTTGGTATATAACAATTTTTGCAATGTTAATTTTTCAATTATAAATTTCTTTTGGTTGTTTACTAAGAAAATTCTTTCAAATTTATGTACCATAGGTTGACATATTCTTATAAAGGGCTTGCACTTTCTTGAATAGTAACCCACTGAGTAGGTTTAATTGTTAATGATTTTCCGTTTTATGCATAGCAGGATACTCTTCACGAATATCTTGGATTAATGTTGGCTGTTCACAGTGCATTCACGGATCGCACAAGTGCACTATTGACGGTACAGACCCTATTATCAGATCTCTCTTCTTTGCAATCAAGAGCTGAAAAACTTGAAGTGGCTTCATCTAAAATATTTGGGGGTGACAAATCAAGGACTCGTAAGTTAGAGGAGCTACAGGAAACCATAAGAGCCACAGAAGATGCAAAAAATGTTGCAATCAGAGAATATGAGCGGATCAAGGTAGGGATTTAAATGTTTTTGATTTTGATTGGTTTCTTAGGCTAGGTATATTGTCTTCAAATATCTTTATGCTGTTTGTGGCCTTCAATCTTATAAGATTCAGTTGGTAATGTTTCATGTTCTTGAGATCCATTAAAGCTGTGTTTTGTTTAATTTCATGTTCTATATCTATTGCATTAGTGTTCATCACTTTATTTTCTCTAGCCAGCTTAAAATGTCCTATAATTGGTCATTTGCTATCCTTTTTACAAATATGATGGCCATTAAATATGTTTCAGTAATAACCAGTGTATGCAGAAACGAGAGTTAAGACGTAACGATTCTACGTTCCATTAACATGCTGCCGTGCTGCGACTCTGTTGAAATCGTATGGACCAAACTCGGTGGAATTATACGAGTTGGTGGAGCAGAAACGTTGAGTTATCTGATAAACCCCGCCCCATTTTTTTTGGGTTTTAAAAAAACCCTAAATTTTTAAGTGGATATGGATCCGGTTCGGGTCGCATTAAAAAATTAATTTTAAAATAGAATTTGGAAAGCTGCTGGGTGATATGTATCACCGCTTTCTCTTTTCAAAAAGAAAAGTTGCAATTCCCATGATACTCTCAAAAGTAACTGTTTCGATTAAGTCTGTCATTAATAAATCATTATTACTATTCTGCGGTTAGGTCAGCCGTTAGATGTGCCAAAATTTTATTTTTTTATTCTACTTAATTTTTAGACCATGGATGAAATAAGAAGTTAGCAGTTCCTTTTATTCTACTATGTACAGTGTTCTCTTTCAATCTTCCTAATCTTCTACTTTTCTATACAGCGTATTATTATATGATTATTTTTTACATGTGTATAAAATTATATGCATATATAAATATATTTTTTTATCAGTAGTAGAATCTTACAATCTGTGCTACAATTCTCGAGTTTTTCAATCCTCTACCGTTTCTGTGTAAACTCTAGAGTTTTTAAACATTGGTAGTAACAAATTAGAGGATCAACCTTTTGTAATTGGAGACCAAAGTGTTTTTGTAAATTTGTAGACTGAGCTCCTGCTATATGCATATACATTGGAAAATTTCTCATGTGTTAGACATTAGGTTTGTTAGGCTATTATTAATCTTATTGTTTGTGAGGTCATACTTGTTATAGCAGCATTGGCACTTGACCTAATTATTTGATGTAAATTTTAGTATTTGCTTTGGGTCTATATCTATTAACGATATTTTCTGTTGATTATTATTGATTGACGTTTATTATTCCCAATAATCCTTACCTCTCTCCGTACATCTCTCTTTCTCTTTTTCTGCCTAATACTTATATTTTCAACATGTTATCTAAGCCTGGTGGAAATGAATGAATTGTGTTATATAACCCAGGGCTTTAGTGAATTTTCTGGCGAACTGCTAATTGAGAAACTTCAGACAGTGTTTCTCTTGTGTTTGAGATTTTCCTTCAGGCATCCTTTTTAGATTGCCTTTTCCCTTCTGTTATTTCTTACACTTTCAGATTTTTCTTTATCCTTCTTTTTGTGTTTCTGGTTTAGTTCTGGTCTTGAGGAGTTGGGTGAATCTCAACATTTTACAAGTGTTTTTTTGGCTCCCTCTATTCTCTCACGTGCTTTCTTTGGGTTGCCAACAATCTTAATAAACTTATGCTTGTCCTCTTAGGTAGCTGGTTCCACATCTTAAACTGATTTCCCTCCCTTTTCTAAGTTCCTTATCTGTTTCTGCGATGACATTGTTCCAATTTGGGATTTGCTTTAGTAGATTGCTGAATTACTATTCTGCCTCTGCTTAGAATGTTTGGCCGCAGTTCCGTTTTCTAATTCTTAGATATAGTACTTCATATTGCATCCTTGTACGACCTGTTATGTGTTGAAGTTTGAACAGCGATGTTATTCGAAGATTGCTGAGTAAGTTATATGTGGTCTATTTTGTCAAGGGTTTGTGGTGTGAAAACTTTAGACATCTCTAAAGGACCCTACTGGTGATTAGGGTAGGTTGCATGATAACTTAGAGTTTGTGATTCAGTTTGGAGATCAAGGGCACCTCTGAAGCAAAGTCAGGCGCTAGAGGGAGGGAAAAATAATAAATTTTCTAGGAAAATTACATCGATATTACTGGATGTTATTATCTTAAAAGATAAAGCACCAACCCATACTCATACTTGAGTCACAATCTTAATTAAATAAGGAAAGCATGATATATGCAAAAATACTGAAACTAATCCGAAGAGATAATTTAAGATATACTTTAAATAACTCTAAGATACAACAAAAACATTACAAGAAATTTTTCACACCTTATGTTAACTAGTCAGTCCTTAATGTATGATGTTTTCTCTCTCTTTTCTTTTAGTTCTTCATTAGCAAACATCTGTTAGTCTAGTCTTTCATGCATTTTGGTTTGGTCATTTAAACTTCATCTTATAACTGTTAAGTTTGATTTTAAAATGTTATACCCTCCCTTTTGCGTAAATGTTTGATTATTAGATTTTGTTGCTTTGTTTTTCAATTTCCATTTCTTGCTATCTTTTTCTTTCCTTTTTATCTATATTTCCTTTGTTGCTTTGTTTATTTGATCATGGTGCCAATGCAGGAAAACAATAAGAGTGAACTTGAAAGGCTCGATAAAGAGAGGCAGGCTGACTTCTTAAACATGTTGAAAGGATTTGTAGTTAATCAGGTATAATTTATGTCTCTTTGTTTTAAGTTCCTCCGAACGCAGAACTTAACTTTCCTTTCATGTCGTTTCCACTGGCTATCAAATTCTTTCTATTTTTTGGCATACTTTTGTTATTATGACGGAATTTGATTCTTGTAGCCGACTCCATTTAAGAGAATAATGCCTAATTGTTGTTGTTGTTGTTGTATTATCTGATTAACTTTTGTTAATAGGTTGGGTATGCTGAGAAAATAGCTAATGTCTGGACAAAAGTCGTTGAAGACACAGCTGGATATGCTAAAGAGAACACTTGAGCTCTAGCTGTAAATTTAAATTTTCATCTTTATTCATTGATGTGTTATTATCATAATGTCTATGTATTCATGATAATAAATTAAAAGATGTGTTTTTTTGCGTGTTCTTGGGTTTTTTTCTCTCTTATACCTCAGAACATTTACACATCATTCAAAGGATATTTGATGTTGTACATTACATGCTTGTTTTGTATGTTTTACTCATGCATCTTTCCACTAGGAATAATGATGACTTGAATAAGTGGAAAAATAGTCTCACGTTGGATAAGAATGTGCTGACTTGAATATTTATAAGTGGGATAATTCACTCATCTATCACCTTAACGTTTTACGTGGATAAGTGGCGTATCTCTCACAAAATTGTCTAATTCTAAACTATGTATCAATATTCCTAGTAACTCTTTTCAACAATATGAATTTCCAACAATATGAACTGAATCTCTTCAATATTCAATCATTTTAATTTGCATCTTTCCATTCCTCTAACTCTGAAAATTAAATGAAGATAGCGTGTAATTCATTCTTCTATATAAAGCACCAACCAGTGCTTTTAGATTCGGTTTTGTATTCAATTTCAAAAGGGGATTTCTTAACCAGTACTTTTAAGAATGTCTTTTTTCATCCTATGCAATTTTAAGAATGTCTTTTTTCATCCTATGCAATTTTAAGAATGTCCTTTAGTTTTCAAAGATGCATCTTCAGAGACATCTTTATTAGTTAAACGTTAAATTATTTTGTAGGTGAATTTTCGTAAAGTATTCAGAAATGTATCTTTGTATCCAATGTAGACAATAAATTTTAAGTATTTTTAAGTGATTTGTAGATAAAATAGTCAGAAGATATACTATGTTTCGATAATCCAAACGTATAAAATATAACGGAATCGATAAATAAAATACAATTCAAAATATAAGTCAAGAGTACATAAATCCAATTTAAAAGTTATAACAGAGTCGATAAATAAAATACAATCTAAAATATATCTAGAGTATACGTACTATAATTTATTGCGTATGACGGACTCGAATTCGGCCTTGTGCCCCCCTGTTATTACGCTGCATCATGTATTGTAGAGCCTCTCGAGTCTCTGTCATCGTGACATTTACAACACCTTTTACCTCAGAGTCATCTGAAAAGAGTCCTCCATCAATACCTGCTTGCCCAATCTCCATGGTGCGATGACATTTAAGCAAAATATCAACAACATGATTTGCCCTAACCTACTCCTCCTCTAGTATCTCTTGATGAGATGACCTCACTGGATCTCCTGGGGCATCCTGTATCATGTAAGGATGTGACATCGAAAGAATCGCCAGATGTAACTGTCTGCATAGCTTCGGTCGTTCTCAACTATATTGCTCTCTGCCTCATCAGTTACCAAATGATTAACATAACCATCAAACATAACATTCATATCTCTATGTTTCACAACGGGAGGAGCACACATAGAAGAATATCTGAAAATGTACTGTATGTAGTCGAACTGACGCTTGACACACTCTGAAAGATGAGGAAACGTCAAACATGACCCGCAAACCAACCATCTCGAGTATAAGACTATATCGTCAAAGAGAATCGTCTCACAGTGATCGACGTAACAATGGAAGTCTGAAAAGTGCAAGAGGATTCAAGTCTGAAAAATGTTGGAACACATGAATCACTAGTTAGTAACATCGTTACAATAACTTAATGAAAATGAGACACAAGCACTAAAAGACAAAGAAATGTTACATTCAAAAGTGTGATACTGCATGTCATCTACTTCGTATTTCACATACATTCTTTAGATAACTTAGAGTACAAGTAGACCAAACAAGCGGCCCCCAAATTATACTCACGGAGGGGGAAATTTTGAATTTTTCAAAAAATTGATTGTGACGTGTTTAACACGTTGCAAATTTTTGAGAGGGAAAACGTCTGACTTTGACGTGAAGTGATACTGAAGTGTACAAATTGACTGAATAAAAAATATAACTGTTGTAGGAGTTGCGACGAGGATCTCACGTGACAAGGTTGCGACGTGAAATTCACGTCGCTGATTGGTTGACGTTGATTTCAAATTATAATGTTGGGGGTTGTGACGTGAATCTCACGTGGCAAGGTTGCGACGTGAAATTTGGCAAGGTTGCGACGTGAAATTCATGTCGCTGATTGATTTATAAAGATATTCACTTCATCTCTCTTTCTAGAAACTCATTTGTGTTTTCTTCTACTTTCTCTTCTTCTTTCTCTTCTTCTATCTATCTTCTTCCATTCAAATTCAACCTTCTTCTTCATAATAACATCCAAATTCAATTCCAAATTTCATTTATAACAAAGTTAAGTTGTCTAATATTTCTTCAATTTAATTTTTGATATTTTTGTTTTAGGTTAATATTGTTTTGTGATGTTGATTTATGTTTTTTATTGTTAAGAAATTGAAGAGATTAGAAGAAAGATTGAACAAAAGGGTTGTAAACGAAGTTAGAAGGAGATTGAAAGGAAAAAAATTATATTTTTTTTATAAAATATGTAGTTATATATATGTATAGTGTAAAAGGAAAAAAATTTAATATATTTATTTAAAATAAATATATACTATATTTTTTATTAAAACATAATGTTATATATTATGAAGTTTTAATTTTTCTTTTTTATTTTATTTATATATATATATATATATATATATATATATATATATATATATATATATATATATATATATATATATATATATATATATATATATATATATATATATATATATATATATATATATATATATATATTTTTTAAAGCAGAATATAAAAAAGAATATCAAACATAGTAAATATCTATAATAATATATTTTAATAATAAAAAAAGTTTTATGTATTTAATAAAAACTTTTATATATATATATATATATATATATATATATATATATATATATATATATATATATATATATATATATATATATATATATATATATATATATATATATATATATATATATATATATATATATATATATATATATATATATATATATATATATATATATATATATATATATATATATATATATATATATATATATATATATATATATATATTTATGTTATTGTTTTTAAAAATAGATTATACTAATAAAAATAGCAGGGTTAAATATAAAAATGCTCCCTGTAATATTAGCGAATTCAGGTTTTAAATCCTCGTAAAGTTTTTTTTTTTAATTTCCCCCTTGTGTTATGTAGATTCTCTCATATCTCCCCCACTGGCCAGATGTCATAGAATCTTGAGTGACATGTAGATTTATTTGCCACGTTCTATTTCCAATTTAGCCACATGGCATTCTTAATTAAATCATCACCTTGCCTAGTTGTAAATTACGTTTTATATTCGTTATAACCCCTGCAGTGTTAGGGTTTATGTGAGAAGTTTGTGTTGCAAAGACGATTAGTCGTTAGGGTTCATTTTCCGTTGAAGCTGTTGTCGTATGTAGGCGTCTGGTCGTCATGGATGGAAGCAAGTGTTCTTCAACAAGTAAGGGTTTGCCACGATGTGGCTGCAACAAAAACATGAAGTTATGGGTGTCTAACACCGTCGAAAATTCAAGCAGAAAATTCTAGAAATACATAAATTCCACGGTGAGTTGTTTATGAGGTTGTAATTCTTCTTACATATGAACCTTCTCACTTGTTTATCTTTTAATATTAGGTAAAAATGCAGAATGGTTGCGGTTTGTTTCTCTGGGACGACATGGTTAGCGAGGCTGAAGTGAATTCATCTAGGTGTTGCGAACGTGATATGAGCAAGGGCTATTTGCGAAGGAGATCGTTGAGGAGAGATCAAATAAGGTGGAAAAACTGAAGAGAAAGCTTGCATCGGAGAAGACAAAGAATTTATGGATGATGACTGCAATTGTTCTATCTTGGGTGTTATTTGCATTTGTGTATTTTAAGTAGTTAGTATGGTTTGTAATTGGATCTTGGTCTGTCATGATTTGTAAGACATACAAGTTTGTGTTGAATTAAACTCTAATTTTTGGTGGCCAATGTAAGACAAATTATGTTTTGTTGAATGAAATTTTAAGTTTTGTGTAATTTAGTTAAAGTTACATTCGTTGACAGTGAATATGTCTAAGGCACCAAAGTTACATTCATTGAAAGCAAAATTTTGACAGCAAAAGATGTCTAAGACAGTTGAATAAAATTTTGACAGCATAGTTGAATAAAATTTTGACAGCAAAGTTACAAAAGGCACACTTGATGCATAAGTCTATTACATCATTACCAAAAGGCACACTTGGTGCATATGTCTATTACAACATTACCAAAATGCACACTTGATACATATGTCAAACACAATAATAATACAAGCAAATAAAAGGCACACTTGGTGCATATGTCAAACACAGTAATAATACAACCACTTAAAAGGCACACTTGGTACATATGTCAAAATCTTAGGTCTATTAAAGATAACATAAAACTTAGTCTCTAATTTTTTTGGTCCCCATGTCTTCATAAACCTTGTTTTCACTCCTAGTTTGAAGTCCTTTGAACCTGACTTCTCTCCAACTTCTGTTATGGTGATTGGCTGCTCACTAGATCCTGGGCCTGTAATTGGTTTCTTAAACCAACTCAACTTGATCCTTTCACTTTGCCTTATTTTGGTAACTGGCTTCTTTCCTTTCTGTTTCTTTGAGTTAGCCACAACAGATACATTCTGTGAATCATTAACCATTGTACTATGTCCATCATATCCTGGACAACCTCCCTTATTGTGATACTGTGGGAGAACTGACTTGAGGTTTTTGCGTTTGTGTTTGCAAATGTTGCGGTTAGCAAGAGTCGCCACCGACTTTTATTTTATCCAATAAGGAAAGGTGAAAAAGCACAGGAAAGACCTTTAGAGATGTTTTCTTGAGTTCGGGGGGTAGATTATGAGAAGGGAAGGTATTAGAAACCTTTTCATCCATGATTTTTCATGGGCTCTTAGTTACTCGCTAGATCACTTGCTTTTGTTTGAATGTG